CTTTCACAGATCAAAGACAATGCTATGAATTAAATTAAAAAAACCTAAAGCATAGGGAATAAAACGAGCCATTTGAATTACATAAGTTACTTCATACACTCTCTGTGCCAGGAAGGACAGCTGCTTCAAGCCCTTATTAAACTAAGGTTAAACAATAATAAAACAAAGTGATTTTAATAAGCAAAATATTTCAAAAAGATTGAAATACATATTTTAACTACTGATAAACACTTCAGTGATTTTAAAATAATTTTCTCAATGCTACTGAGTGGCTACAATTTTATAGCTGTGTCAAAATGTTTTTTGGCACTGTGTAGTAAATACTAAAAGTTTAAAAGAAAGATTCTGAGTGAAATCCTGACGCCATTAAAGTTAATGGCAAAACTCCCCTCGACTTCACTGGAGCCAGGATTTCACACGTTGTCTCTGATAGCTCACTTCTGAAGCCATTGGGCCTGATTCTGCCCTCATTTATACTGGTGTAAACCTAGGATAACTTCACTGAAGTCAGAAGTGTGTAAAACCAGTGTAAAACTGGTGAAGATGAATCAGCCTCACAGACTTGAAAAGAAACTGTGCTGGAATATTAATACCTTCTTTTCTATATTAGAGAAGTGGAAACCCCTTTTATTTTACAGCTTAATTACTTGATGGTTTCTGCTTGGCTTGATTCCAGTGCCCCAGACAAAGAACACAAGTGTTTTTGGTTTTGTGGGTTTTTTTTAAATCACAGAGAAGCTGTAATATTTAACTAAAGTAGAATAAATAATGCTTCACGTGGAATGATTTGGAAAAGGTACTTGAGTTTTACAACATGCTGTCAAACGAAAGAGGCTTTTGGAAAGGTCACAAAGGAGAAGAGGAAAAAAAGAAAAGCTCTTCAAATGATGCATGAAAGAGTATCTGACCTTAATCAAATGGTCAAATTAACTAGTTTGCTTTACAACATACAAGAGCTCAGATATAATTTGCCATAAAATGAGCACAAAAAAATAATAGTCATGAACAAAAATGTTTGAAAAATCAGGTCTGAGATTCCAGGCCTCCATGCTGGGGGGAGGAGAGAGAAATCCTTCTGACTGAAGAGTAGCAGCAGAGCCACTAGACAGCATTTACTATAGCTTCAGGGCTGCAGTAACCCAGTGGCTGGTTTGCTCCCACTTTGTGGGATCAATTGGCCATGTCTCTGTACCAGCCCATCCTTGCCCCATCCTCCCATCTGGGAAAGTTCATTCTTTTTGTATGTCAGGAAGATTGAAGTCCTTTATTTATCAACTTAACATGTACAGCATGGGCAGCTGCAGCACAGGATTACTCATGCTCTCCGACCTACATGCTGCTACGCTGACTTAATGGAGGGACAATCTTTAGGAATAAGAGGGTAGTTCAGGCTGCATGTCAGTTTAATGCTTGGATTCTGCAGAACCATCAGCCAAGGTGCAAATTCTGATGGCTGTGAGGGGGAGATATGTAATTGGGGCAGTGGAGGTGCCAAAAAGAATCTTCAAATCCAAGAGAAACTTATTTTTTCAGGATGTGTCAACTGCGGTTCAATGAACAAGAAAATCCTTTTCTCTAACTCTCAAAGAACAGAGGGAAGGAATATCTGCTTTGCTCTGCTTCACTGATAAGAAAGAGGGAAATCCTTTCTTTCAAACATTATGGAAACTCTGATGCCTGAATAGGCATAGCAGGGATATATTCCGGTTAGTCTGTATTCTCAGCTATGCTGATTTTTATGAAGCAGTTTCTCTGACCCATCGCTAGCTTTGATCAAAACAGCTATTGTGCGGTGTCCAGATAGGTTTCTACCCTTTTACATCTTTCGGTAAACAAAGCTCCCTCAAGTGGTTTATTAACCCTAGTGTCGGATTGTTTGCTATGCTATCAATATTTTAGATCTTAATTTTGTTATTGACAAAAATATGTTTTCATTATCATTCTCCCATTTTCAGGCACAGAATGTGATTTTTTTTAAGAAACATGTTTTCATTAATTACAATTATTATAAAAAAACCAAATTTACTCGCTTATCATAATATGACTATTAATAAACTATTAGTATTTGGCCCACTGGGTGAATGAACAGTGCAGCCTCAATCCTGCAAAGTATTATATGTAATTCCAAAAGTCTCAGAATAAGGTATTAATTTACTATAGCACAAAGACGGGTTTGATAAAGTAAAAAGCAAGGCTGTAAATATAGCAAATGACATCTAGTAGCCTTCAACAAAAATATCTGTACAGAGAGTCCAATCCAAAATCCCATTGACTTCAATGTGAGTTTTGCCTGTGACCACAATTTTGCATATGGATCCCCATGCATGAACCCTCATGCCTGGCAGCAGTATCTGTGTTAGGACTGTAGTATCAGGCCAAGAACTCCCTTTGTAATCACTGGTTGCACTGTTGCCTTCTATTGTGATTTTCTGTACTCTTCTTAAAGCCCTAGCTCCTGGAGTTATTTGATTACATGAGAATCTCAGCTTTCAAAAATTTCTAGCACTCATGGTTGTAGATAAAAGCTAGAGAATGTGAATGCTGAAGACTCAAAAACAAAAAGCAAATATAAACACCCCTCCATTCTTTTTTTAAATCTTGTGATTTTTAAGCCTCCCTCATGACTCTTGGGGGCCTGACTCATGATTTTTGAACATTTGTGGTTGGCAACACCGTGCTTGTATTACAGAATATATTCATCGGACTTTTATTATGCAACACCATCCCCATCAATGACACAATATTTACCACAAAGCTCCTGGTCCTAGTATTCGTAAATTGGATTTGGACTACACCTCTACCCCGATATAACACTGTCCTCGGGAGCCAAAAAATCTTACCGCGTTATAGGTGAAACCGCGTTATATCGAACTTGCTTTGATCCGCTGGAGCGCGCAGCCCCGCCCCCCTGGAGCGCTGCTTTACCGCGTTGTATTCGAATTCGCGTTATATCGGGTCGCGTTATATCGGGGTAGAGGTGTATGTACTTTTAGCAGATAAACAAAAGTGAGTAACTTTTTTTAATGTGGTGATCCACTTCATTGTTTTCATAAACTGACGAAATAACCACTGAAAATTTTAGCCTAACTTTAACCCAGCAAAGAATATTTGTTTCCATTTTCATGAACCCTCTTTACAATCCTGCAAATTTATGCATGCGCCTAATTTTACTCACATGCATAAACCTTAGATAAACAAAGGATTTGCAGGATTGTGTTCTTCATCCTTAGGCACCTGCATTATGCCTCCTTGCCACACTTCCACGCTTTACGTTAGGAATATTGAAGCATTACTCTCCCCCATCCCACTCTGCAAACTGGTGCCTATTTCTCCTTAAGTTTCCCAGAAGAGTCAATCCTTCATGGATTTGTTGCTCAAACCAAAGGACCAAACTCCACTATCTGAGTAGCGTACAAAACTCCCATTCAAGAGAAGGGGCAAAATTTGGGCCCAAAAGTGGTAGCAGCGAGATGACGACTTAAACTAGAGTGGACTGATTATCTACATAACTTTTTTCCATTAACTAATTTTTGAACATCTAACTTTCTTATAGAAGGGATCCCTTAAATAGTATGTCCACATAGTTTTTTGGTGTTTTTAAATCTTAGAATTTTTGTAAGTGACTTTCTCATTCCCCAGCTGAAGATTAGAAAGCTCCTTTGGGATGATCTAAGAGCAACACTGAACATTAGGGCTGGTTGATATTTCTTCCATTAGAAGTTTATTCCATCTTTAAAAAAATTTGCATTTTTGGAAATTTTGTTTCAAAATGACAGGACAATTCTTTACTTTCCCACCCTAATTTTTCTCCACTCGAAAAAAAAAGCAGGAGGTAAAAAAAAAAATAGTGTATATGTGGGAAATAAAATAAGTAAAACTGGAAAAAAATCAAGATATGCTCTGTATATACACCTGCCTGAGATCTCTTCAGTTTCACTTTTGGCTACTGCTCTTACTAGTAAATAAATACCATTTTACAGACTCTGGGACAGAATGTGCATACAGGGAAGGAACAGGGAAGATCTCCCCAGAACAGTACATGAGAGTGATGTCATCCTGCTAGGGTCTGAGGCAGGAAGTGCAACTGACCATCAACAAAACAGTGGAACTCACTGTATACAAAGTTCAGTCAAATGTGCCAAGGTTCCCAAGTTAAAAAGAGAACAGAAATATTTTATTATTTCTTTCTATTACAGTAACCTTAGGTGTTATTGGTATCAACTGCATACTTGTATCAAAACAGTGATAAGTTTATTGTATATCAATGGTCAACCCTCTACGCATTTGTTATATCTTACAGTATTGCCAACCCTAAGCATTGAAAAATCACGAGTCACACTCCTTCCCCCAAAATCATAAGATTTATAAAATGTAGATGAGTTATTTGCCTTCTGCTGTTTGAACCTTTAGGATACACAAAGGTCACATTTTCAAATATTTGCCTGCAGCCATGAGGGCTAGAAACTTACTATACTTTATATAAAAAATGAAAGCTGAGATTCTTGGGGAGACTTTTGAATCCAGCAACTGGAGCGTTAAGAAAAACACCTAATATTGAAAGACCTAAGGTAAAATCACAAGACCTCTGAGAAGACACACCTGCTCCACATTTGCCCTCATTCTGCCGAGGTGGGTGGGTTCTAGTTTTATTTAATGTGTTTATTGTCCTATACAGAATCTATAAGTACATAGGTGCTACACAATAGTAATTAAAAACTTACAGATGCTAAAAAGCCATCTTGCTCTGGGGCCAGATGATTTCACTGTGTGTGTTTCACTGAGACATTTAGGGCCAATTTTTTATACAAGAAGGGCTGAAGTCTAAAACTGCACCAGCAAATGCATGTGCCTTTACAATGACTGAATGTGCAAGTCAGGTAATCAAACATGCAAATAGGTACACAACCAACTAGCCATTTATGCACACAATTACCTGATTTGCATGTGCAAGTAAGGGTGCACACTTGCAAGTGAACATAGATGCTTTTTTGAAAACTCACCGAAAAATCTCCCTTCTTCCAACTGGCACAAACTCAGACCTGCCCCAAATCTCCCTCAGTGAGGAACATGGTGGTTACCTACAGGCAGAGTTTACAGTCCTCACTTCTGGAGAAAGAAAGGGCAGGTAGGAAAGCAGGGACATATTTATGCAGTGGTAGTCTCCCTCTATGAGAAGAGAAGGGTGCATATTTAAATAAGGCCTGTGCCTGTGATACTCTACCTTGGGATTTTTGGAAGCTTCGCACAGAAAGCAGCCCAGCTGCAACAGTGGGCTGGTGTGTGGTGTGACGTGGGGTGGGGCAGGGCAGCGACACAGGCAGCGGGCTGTGTTATGATGTGGGATTGCTGGTGCAGGGCAG